GCGGCCTGGGCGGTGGCCTGGGCGGGGGGCTCGGCGGTGGCGGCGGCAGGAAGGGGTCGGGCCCCGCCGCCTTCCGCCTGACGGAGAAGTTCGTGCTGCTGCTGGTGTTCAGCGCTTTCATCACGCTCTGCTTCGGGGCGATCTTCTTCCTGCCCGACTCCTCCAAGCTGCTCAGCGGGGTCCTGTTCCACTCCAGCCCCGCCTTGCAGCCGGCCGCCGACCACAAGCCCGGGCCCGGGGCACGCGCCGAAGACGCGGCGGAGGGGCGAACCCGGCGCCGCGAGGAGGGCGCGCCCGGGGACCCGGCGGCAGCCCTGGAGGACAACTTGGCCAGGATCCGCGAAAACCACGAGCGGGCTCTCAGGGAAGCCAAGGAGACCCTGCAGAAGCTGCCGGAGGAGATCCAGAGAGACATCCTGCTGGATAAGGAGAAGGTGGCCCAGGACCAGCTGCGTGACAAGACACCGCACAGGGGGCTGCCCCGGGTGGACTTCGTGCCCCCCATCGGGGTGGAGAGCAGGGAGCCCGCCGACGACGCCGTCCGCGAGAAGAGGGCAAAGATCAAAGAGGTGAGTGCATCTGCCAGAAATCCCTCCCAACGGGCCATGTTTTTCAGGGAGAAGAGGCAAACCTTTGAATCTTGTAAGACTGCAGTAGCACAGTGTAGGGGGAGATGGAGGTTTTCCCCTTCCACCAGGTGCTGTGTCAAAGGCTCTTTCTTTTTCTTTTTTTCGGTATGCTAGTAGATGTGGCCAATTAAGATCTGAGGTTGTATATATCCCGTTGCTTTTAACTTACATGCTCGGGTGAGCATAAACCATGGGAGGTAGGTAAAATACCTGAGCAGGTGATAGACAAACCTCCTTCACTGGCCGCTACACGGTTAAATTGTACCTGAGAACAGTAACATTGAAGGTACTAAACAGCTCCCTCGTAAGGCTTGGACGTGGCTTTAAAATGAAGCTTGAATGTAAACACAAGGCATCTATCACGCGTGATAAAAATGTTCTAGCAGCAAGCCAGCACTTCCCTGCGTTCAGTCATGTGGCCCCATTCTGCCAGGTGGCGTTGTGTGTGTACTTACAGACTGTAAAGGTGAAACTGGAGAACTGCCCACTATAAGAGGAATAATGGTGTTTACATTTTTTAAAAATGTCAATTGAAAAAGCTAGTCTGCTGCCTCTTGTTTCTCTAGTAGTGCACAGCCAGAAATAGGGTATTCTGTGTGATGCAACAGGTTTGCCTCCACAGCAGCACAGTGATGACAAACTTAATCTAGGACAAACACGGACTTTGATAAGTCTTGTTATTTCTTTCTTGTAATTTTCAGTTAGAACTTGTAACATGTGGCCAGTTCGTGACCAGCTTAAAGCTGAAGGGGACCTTAAAAATCATTTGAGACTGTCATTTTAAAGATGAAAGTCCAAAGGACCACAGCTTCAGAACCAGTTAGTGAGCAAGTTAGGACTTGAAGCCTAAAGCCTATACTTCCTCACATTCACCAGTCACCAGGCTCTCTGTGGACATGCCTCCTTCCAGAACTACTCCCGTCTGTGCAACTGTGCTGGCCTGGGTTTTTCATAAAATCGAGAGCTGTAGGAACCATATTAAAAGCATCTCATCCCAAATCTTGGTTCAGTTTTTAAAAATACATTATGAATGGAAGTAGGGTGTTGCCATTTTAAAAAATAAAACACAGAGTCTCTGTGAAAATAAATTCTGTGTTTTGATATTGGGTAGGTAATCAAGAAAAGAAGCTTCATAATCCCATTTTCAGAGAGTAAACAATTTTGAGGTGGTGAAGTGGTATTTAGCTTAAGTGGCTGCAGAATGGAGGCAGCTCAATTGTCATAGGATTTGTGACTTTAATGTAAGACCAGATGAATTTGGTTGAGCTGTAATTGAGCAAGTTAAAGTGGATTGGGTCTCTCTTAGTTTATTCTAGGAAGAATGCTTTCATCTCTGCTGTGCAGATAGCTTCCTTCCACATTCCATCAGCCTTTCTGCTTCTCTGAGACTCCTTCTCAGGCATGGAACCCTCCCAGGCTTGGTAGAATGCATTCTACTCTCCTGGACAACTTCTGTCTACCAGTTTCCATTCTCCATGAAATCCTGTCAGTGCTACCAAACCAGGAAGGTGGAACAAAGCTCTACCTCTTAGGAAACATCTTCCCAGACTCCTTAAAAATATCTAACCTAAACCATAGAAAATTAACCCCAAATGATCTGTACCTACTTGTTTCCCTTAAATTTAAAGAGCATGATTTGTGCATATCATGCCTGTAAATTCATATGAGCTGCCACTTAGTGGAGGTCACAGCTGTCTGAGGAAAAGATTTTAAATACTAGAGATGAATAGATGTTAAAAAGCTGTTGTACTGACCAATAGTGATCATAAGTGCATTTAGAGCAGCAGCAGTGGGACAGTAGCAGTTAGTTCAGGACAGCATATCTGTCCCTATTAGATCCATGTTATCTGTGTCTTTAAATCAAAAGGTCTTAATTAACTGTGTAAAAGAAATTTAGGGCCAGCCCATGGCTCACTTGGGAGAGTGTGGTGCTGGTAACACCAAGGCTGCGGGTTTGGATCCCTATGACAGGAATGGCCGGTGACCCACTTGGGAGAGCGTGGTACTGACAACACCAAGTCAAGGGTTAAGATCCCCGTACCGGTCATCTTTTTTTTTAAAAAAAAAGAAAGAAGGAAAAAGAAAGGTAAAGAAATTTATGTAGCCTCTGTGTCAGTGTGGTGCTAACATCTTAGCACCTAGAAGTTTTGAAACTGCCCAGTATTGCATAAAGTGGTGGAAGTAAATTTGTTCTTTAAAATTCCACGTTGCCTTGAGACCCAAAAGAGTCAGCATAATTAGCTTCAGTATTTACCCAAAGACTAATGGGGAGAAATGGATTGTGATTTTCCATCAGATTAGTGTAGGCAGATGTATTCCTTCATAAACCAAAAGAAAAAAAAAAGTAACTCATGCTATTCTGAAGCTGTGCTGTACGTGTTTGGTTTCAGAGAGGAAAGAGTGGTTGCCTGTTATGAATGGGGCACTGGACTTTAACTTTACAGATTTAGATTCAGTTTCAGGCACCACTATGGACTTCTTATCATGGACCAATGGATCTTTGCCTTGGTGGTGGTCTTTATTGTTCCCATATTTTTTACTTCTCTTTATATTTAGGTTCTCCATCACATCTGAATGTACTAACCCCTTTTGTAGTTAAAATTCAGAAGATCTAACTTGGTGGGAGCTTTGACCGTAATGTGAGTTAAACTTTTATTTTGTAAATTTGATTCAAAGGCAGTCAATACTATTTTTTATATTGCCAACACAATTATGTGACTGGTATTGTGGTACATTTTTAACAAATTTGTGTCTTAGGGGAAATATTCTGCTAATTTCAAATAGGACATTGCCTAGCACTCTTTACAAATTTACTACTAATTTGATGGACGGTAAATCTTTGATGTAAAACTTAAAATTAAACTTAAGATTTTCCTTTCCCGACCCCCAGGAAAACTTTGTAAATAAATTAACTCTGGAATTTCCCTGAAATTTATAAGACATACATAGTGCATATTTATTTTCATGAGTTCAGTCTTCTTAAAATTATACCAAAGTTGCCCTTAGCTTTAAAAAGCAGTATTAGAATAATGAAGCACAGAAGTTAAAATAGCCCCATGTTTTTGTGTTGTTGTTGTTTTTAATAGTCCATTTCCCCTTCTACTCCATCCCTTTTTAAAAATCAGGAAGCATTTTTAGCCCTGTAGGATTAGGGCCCTAACCTAACTTGGAGGATGAACATTTTATTTTTCCATTTCTGGGAATTACAAGGGAGTCCTGAGTACTAGGGGCTGAAGACAAATTGTCGGAGGGGATTCTTCCCATCTCAGACTGGAATCCTCATCAACCTAACTGAGGAGCGGGGTATGTGCAGGCTGGCGGCCTTGGTTCTGACATGTAAGGTTTCAGAACCCGTCAGCTGTGGGATCACAATTGTCGTCTCACTGTTTCTCAAAATAAGGCTTTAGTTCTTCATTCCAGATGTATTTGTATAATCATAAATTTAAAGAAAATTTTCATATCGGTGGTTAATGGTTAAAATATACTCTTATTATATTTTACACTAGCCTTAGGTATAAAGCCTTGAGTATATAATTTATGTTAACAACAATTAACCCTTTTGGTAAAGACCAGATGTGAGAATAATCTACCTTGTCAGATTAAAACACACCCCCACACAAAAACACTTTTATTTTGAAATTTAATTCTCCAGTTTATTAGTATGGGTAGTTCTGGTCCGAAAAATAATATTTACAAAATAACTTAGAGACACCCATGGTTGCTTGCCTGTTCAGCCACTCGCCCTGCTCCATGACACTCTACATGCTGAATGTAGGCCAGTGTGAGATTGCCCTACTCAGAGGCCATTCCCCAGAGCAGAGGGAGCCTGGAGTGTTTGTAAAGGTTTCTCTCTTTAATAAGCAGATGAATAAATTAAGATTCCAGCAGTGTAAGTGCTGGAGTGGATGCTGACTGTTGAACATTAATATACAAAAGCAAGAAAAGATGGTTAATGGATGGTTAATTATGTTCAGCTTAATTTTCTGTAAGCTATAGATAATTTATTCGAGAGGAGTATTCTGTCTTCCTCTTATCAGGCAACTAAGATTCATATAAAGGAGCTGTACATAGGACTTAGAACCCAGTTAAAGGTATGAAAAGAGGCTTAAAAATTCATTTTTGAATCAGTGTGTCTGTGTTTTTTAGGTGAACTAATTAACTAAACCATCATGAGAAATTTATGCTAGTATTTCACATGTGTAAAAAGTGCCTTCATATGAGATCCGAATTTGTTGGAATTCATTGGAGAACTAACATATTTGAATTAGATTATTTCATAAGCTATGGTAGTACAAATTATTTAATTAAGTTATTTCATAAGCTATGGTCCTGTGAATTCTTTATTAAAGAGAGTTTTAAGCATGGGTCTCGAGGTCAGAGGGAAAGAATACCTACAGATTTGTGTGAGTGATGAGGGCTAAATGTGCAGGGTAGGTCAGAATTGCACTGGAAACTTCTTACACCCCCTACCCCAGTAGAGCACCTGTGACCTTTTAATTTCCTCAGTACCTACAAAATCATAAACATGTAGCTGTTTGTCAAAGATGAGTTTCAATTGGTCAAAATAGAAGCAGCCACTATGGGTTCCAGAGGCACTGTGTAATGATTGGCAAAAACGGCCTCTCCTCTACATAGAAAAGAAACACTTATGTTTCGAAGTTTAGGTAAGAGATTACTTTTTAGGAGGAAGTAAATTTTGACTTTTCCCTCAGGGTTCTTAGCCTAGTGCCTTGATTTTGGTATTCAGTAATTGAACTACCTCTAATGCTCCATTGCCAACCCCTCAATCTGTTAAAAGACCGTTTACCCAAACTCTGCAATATTTTTCCTGTTATGCAATAAAAATGATAACATTAAATCTCTGATTTTTAAAACTAAACATATCTCTAAGTCATAAAGTATTTTAGCTGGATGAGACCTTAGAGATAGCTCAGCTTATT